CATGGTGTTACATGCAGAAGAGGGGTGCTTATTTTAAAGTGTTGATCGACCTTTTGGGAGTTGGGAACGTCAGGTTGCAATGAGTTTCCTGCTGCATCCTTGTGTTCCACACAGAGTGACTGGCCACTTCTCTCTCTCTGTCCTCATCTTTAGAACCTGAGGCTCCACTGGTCACCTGCAGTGTTTCCCTTTCTCTGCCTGAATTTTTATCTTCAGCGTTAACTCTTACGTGAGTGTCAAGGTTATTTGTTCAGTGGAAGGAAACTTGAGTAAGACCTACCCGTGGTGTTGCCTCACTCGTCCAAGTCTTTTCTTACTTGGTCAAGTTTAATGCAGAGAAACTGTAGGGTGAGATCTTGAATCTATTGGATCCCAAAAGGCAAAAAATAGAATTTCTAGAACATACTATCAAGATATTTCCTGGGCCTCAAAGCCAAAATTAGAAGTAAACCTCAGGTGTGTGCTCTTATGGAATTAAAGTTGCAGTCATAGTTTCTTATTAAAAGCACTCACTTTCCACCTTAATACTTCAAAAACCGATGATCAGGCTCTATGGAACTGAATTTCATTTATAAGCATTAGTAGACAACAACACATTTTAAAAAATACTTTTGTTTCTTCCTCAGCCACATCGCTCTTTATAAATGAGAAAATGCAGACTTGGTGAACTTGCTACGTTTCATAAAACGAAGATATTGAAATCAAATGTTCAACCTGTCAGAATCTAAGTGCTCATGAAGAAATGGACATGCTGAGAGGGAGGGGCTTTCCACAAGATCACGTGGCTAGACAGGGCCCTGGCCGAACTAGGGCCGCACCTCTTAATTCTGGACACGGTGCTCCTTGCCCAGATCTGTGAAGGGAGTTTTGGGGGGCAGGTGTCTGCAGAACATGTTAGACTTTCTTCTAAAATTGAAGTCATTGGAGTAAAGTCTCCAGTGCCTTTTGGGAATGTGTCTTCTCCAGGCTACTGTCATTATTATGGTAAGGAGGGGCCTCTAGCATCATATTCGGTGCTCTGGGAAAGGCTGAGTACTTGTCATCTTGTTTAGGGGTGTGACATGAGTTTACAGAGCTAATTGCTGATGCTTTTTTTCCTTGTCCTGGCCCTACAGTCATCTCAACATGCCCTCTGTCCTGCTGCTAGAAGCCGTCTGCATTTTCCTGGTTGCTGGAGGTAAGGTTTTTTGGTTGTGGGGGGCGGGTACCATGTCAAGGGGTTTGGTTTGTCTTGCTTCCTGTCAGTTTTAACTTCTAAAGTTCTCTTGAATGCATCTAGGTCTCCACTCCACAGCCACCTGCCTGGTCTAAGCCCCCTCATCTCATGCTTAGACCATGACAGTAGCCTCCCAACTGGTCTACCTGCTTTTCCTCCAGCCTGTTCTTCACCCAGCAGCCATTTCAAAATGCAAATGTGATCATATGTGGATCTTTTTCCACGTCCACCCCCTTCCTGAAACTGCTAAGTAATATCCTGTTGCTCTCAAGAGGCCCTG